ACACTGTCTCGTTCGGGATACAACACGCACAAAAGTCTCCACATTAGCTACATTAGCACGTAGTCTAGAGACGATAATCTAAACCTCTCTTGCTGAGAACTGTGAGCGTTTTTATCTGCGTTAGGCGTGATCAACACGTTCCCAAGCACCAAATAGCTTCTCCTCTGAAAAGGGTTGGCACTTTAGATGATCTGTGAGCCACTTTAGTTATTGTCTTTTGACCGCGTATTGAGGGCGCACTCCAAGGATTTTATATCACACGTCTGTGACGTGTGATGCACACTGCTGTTATAGTTTCGGTCCTCCCAAATCTTGCACAGGCATCGTCGCGTATATGCAACACCCAGCGGCATTCTCTGTAGTAGAATTTCCTGGTCTCTTCTTAGTCGGAACGAAATGCGAAAACCACGACTAGAGTCAAGCCTATAAAGACGCTCGCGGCGATAATCAAGGTCATTTTATAGTCTTGTCATATTCGTTTTCATGGCTTAAAAATGCAAGGCGTTGACGCCATATCAAGAAAAGGGATTTTATAACACTCCACCGCTATTGTGTGCCTTTTTTTCTTCTGCTCCAGCTCCTTCATTCCCCGCTATGCCACAGTAACTCTAAATTCGTTGCAATGCAACGGTATGTCGGCGTAAATAGGCCTCATTTACCATATTCCTTATGTCGCACACCAAGGGGCTATATACAGTTTCTTGCTCGTGAAGTTTCTAATTAGCTGAAGTATCAGCTTAGACTCACAAAGTAATGCCCATTTCGCTGGACTCTGCTGTAAAATATAGCATGCAGCCTGTCAGACGCCTGACAGCTCAGTGGCCGTCGACGATGACTGGTGTGCTATCTTGAAGCGTTTCGTGATTCGCATGTCAGGTACACAGAAAGCTGCTGCTGAAGATGTCTGCGTGACAGAGCCATCAGCAAAAATGTGTTCCGTATATCCGTACATATAGGCAATATGCAGGTTGTCACCGGCTGTGGTTATATTCCAACCAGCTCGCTGCCGGCTAAATTACTCAAAGTACTGCTTCAGTCATTGTTAAATAACTGTGCTGGAACACCCTGCTGACGCGTTCACTCCATAACGTTCATAGTTTTTTTCGCAACGTGCATTAAAATTTTTCCATCAATGAACACTAGGGCACTCGCACGCCTATTCACAAACCATCTGTAACAAGGCGTCCCATTTTATTGCGGTCCTGTACAAGCTGATGCCTTCTCTCATGTAATCCCCCCTTCCATTGACCCCACATATTATTGCACATTTTGCCAATGCTGTTTCACCATAAGAAGGCGCAGGTGCTAGTAATCACCACATCATTGCAGTTATGGCCCATCATGCTACTGCATACGCAAGTCGTCTCAGTTTGGAGACAGAACTCGACCACTCTATTACAGAACAAAATTTAATGATTGAATTTTCTGGGCTGTCCATGGTGTATACGCTCTCCGTTGGCTTTTTTCCCTGAAGAACTCTACGAGACGTCTTGGTCAATACTAGTTCAAAAGTACTCGTCCTCAGTTGCATAAAAGTCTCAATCTGAAAGCTCGTAAGACAGCCTAGTCCCTGCATGACGTCTACTTCGCTGTTTCTGCAGATTGATGACAAACAACGTCATTATCCTTGTTTGCAATTGTTCATGGACCACCTGATTCCCTAAGGAAGCACCACTGTGCATGCCGTTCATTTTGAATGCGTGCTATACTATAGAAACGATCAAGCACACGGCACTCGGATATTTTTCTTGTGCCTAGACATCTACACTGAACTGTCCTGCATGGTCTTCATGACCAATTCACTGCCGTCAAGCTACTTTTTGTGTCTGGCAGCGTTTCTTTTGGTGTTATCTGGCACACTCTATTTGATGTATGGAGTGTCCTACGATGAATGCCATAAGGTAACTGCGCAAAAAATGGACAGAAACACAGAGAAAAAAATACATTGACTGTCGTTTCCTCTCTTTTTGTGTTTCTGTCCGTTTTTTGCGCAGTTACTTTATGCATCATTACCCAGCCGCCGAACTTATCATTTTTCTAATGAATTCCAACATAGAAAGCTAACTACTTGAGTCTCCGCTGGACTGCTGCAACCACTGCTAATTCCGACCCAATCATTCGTTCGGACTAGTTTCGGCCGTTTTGGTCTTTTTGCCCGAGTCAAAATCGCGCCGTAAATGCGTCCCTGTAGCTACAGATTATGCGACAGGGTATGTAACCCCGTGAGCGCTCTGAACGTTGTCCATATTTTGCTGAAAGTGTCATTCTACACCATGGTGATCGCCGCCCATTTTTCATAGAATGCGGCAGAGAATTTTTGTCCTGAGTAATTCACAGTCTTTATCACTCATGCTCCACGCAGCTCGAATTTAAATATGCCATAGCTGAACCGCCACGAGACCAGGTTGCAATAAAATGAGTAGTTGGCTCATCTCGGCCTGGCTATGCGCTTACGGCAAGAAGACGTACAAATAACAGAATTCACAGTCCTGTTAAAACTGTCTCTTCTGTTGTTTTTACGTGTTCCGTCCATAGCACATCACCACAACATCGCTTGACAAACAAATGGCTTAATGAAGGGCCCAAATCACTCCTTCACAGATACGCTCTCAATATATCTTTCAATTGTGGAGCGTTCTTGGGGACCCGGGCGGTTGTATGCGGTCGTTTGCTGTCATTGCTTGGCATACCTCGGGCAAAACCATGTATGGCATAGCAATCTCTCAACTATTGAACGAGTGCTCACGCCAAAAAAGCCATATTCCTCTTGTTCTATGATCGCCTGGGTGATTAAATGAAGCACGGAGCACTTTGAGGGCGCGGGCTGTCGTATACAACTGTCATCTGGTGTAACACAGGCAAAACCGTGTTTAGAAGTTCAAAGAGAAAACAGAAAGCAAACAAGAAACAGAAAGACGTGAACAAAAGGTAAACATGGGAAAAACTTAAATAAATATAAATAGAAAGAGCATAGATAAAATAGGAAAAGAGAAAAAGAAGAGAATGTATAAAGACAACCGAAGAGACACAAAGGCTGCCTTGCTTTGCACTTACTTCAGGCTTGGCACCCTTAGTGCAAAGCTGCCTTAATTTTTATTCTGACCACAAGGTCCGGGACTCCACACTATTCCTCACATGACATTCGCCTACAATCCATCGCGTTACGACACTGTCGCTTATCTACCCTTTTATATTCTCTTCGGATTTCACTCGGCATTACCACTAGACACCCTATACTTCCAGCTGCTAAAGCGTCGCCCACTTAAAGCAGATGTCATGTCATTGCTCGAGCATACCAAAAGAGCGAAATCACCTCCACTGGGCTATCGGCTCCGCAAACCACTTAAATGAGCCTTTATAACAGTCCCATCCCGATGTTTGCTCTTCAGCTGGTTCTCTAGTCATTGCATGGTGTTCATTGCGTTGTGTTGGCTTCTCAGAGAAGTTACCTTGGTGCACGAATTCTCACCGTTTTGTCTGCCTAGTGATGGACCTCACCTACAAGGACTTTCGCGTCGCTTGGATTATCGCTCCTTCAACTTCATTACTAAAGCGTCAGCACCATCACAGCAGCGTAGTTGATGTCAGCAGGCTGAAATCAAATAGCCTTTCCTTTACCGACAATGTTCAATATGCGCCGATGCGGCGCTTCTATCCCCGGTTGTGTGGCTACGAAGCTTGTACAATCTGGGAATAAGCCTATGGAAGACACACAGAAGCCCATCTTGTCTTGTGTGTGCTATAAACCTGCTCTCTTTCTCCGTGATGTGGGCTGTCCACTATGTTGGTCGATGGTGTGCACCACACAGTAAGCACACTTGTAGGTAGATCCGCCTCGTTTCAATTTTGCGAAATATTATAATTTGTATTGCTGATTTCACAACTCTGTCCCTCTCTTTTTCATATTCTAACAAAATTCTAACGACACAGTGGTCTGGTTGATACCATTTGTGGGCAAGGATTGAAAGCTGTGGCATTCTTCTCGCTTCCAATTACTAGCAGAAACCACTCTCCCTCGAATAATAACACTCATTCACATGAATGCATAGAATCAGCTTTACTGGTATGCGATGGTGTGTCCTTGTCGGCCTTAGCTCTCTCAAATGAGAAAATGCAAGCAATGAGGAGATATATTTGTCAGGCTGGTGAATTCACCGAAATTATGCCTTCTTGACCGTGTATTTTTTTACTTGTGTTTTGATAGTGTGCATGCAATTGACTTCCGTAACCTCAAACTTGCTAAGAGCAAATGTCTCAAAAGAGGGCCTCGCAAAGCTGCTTCATTTGCCTGCCCGCTAGATGAAACATTCAGCACGTGATGTCTAATCTACGTCATTGCGAAGAGCTTCAACTTCTGAATTTCATGCCTGCTGTATTCTGTTCTATAAACATTAAGATTAAACCTGTGTCAGCGCAATAAACCACCCGCTGATAGAACTCACACATTCTAAAAATCACAACTGAAATGACGCAGTACTCCCAAGGGTGTCCTAAGATGCTTATCATCCGATATATAAAGTCTGTAAAGTGGAAATGCTCTTGTGCCTTTCCATGTTGATGTCAAGCGTACTGTGCTGCTCATGTCTTAGCAAGGAATGGATACGCTTTTCTGTTCTGCAACACTGCCTCCAAAAGGGATATAGTACCAAGAGTTCTTGCTTCTATTTGTATACTTACGCAACAATTCTCAAGATTACACAAGCAGAACATGCTTGTGGTGCACTCGAATTATGGCCCAGGAGGAGACACCACCACTTAGAGGTGCCACATTCTTTAGCATCGGTGAAGCAGAACATGACCTGATTGCCTTTTGTGCAAAACACATCTTTTCTCAGTTCATTTGAAGGCCTCTTCTGTCAAAAGCAGAGAAGTGAAGGATACATAATAACAACAAGTGGTGTTATCTATCTTACCCAGAACTACTGTACTGCTGAGGCTAAATCCGCCTAATTTCGGGAACATGTGTACCTCACAGAGGCCGAAGTGGTGCTCATACATACCGGCCCCTCCTGCCAGGAAAAGAGCTGCCGGCCAAGGCGAGCATCGCGCAGGACAGGGCGAGAAGGACACGGATCAATCCTGCTCTCGCTGTCGGCTCCATGCTTGCCTGGGAGCGGTTGGCGGTTGCGAAGGGTTCGAGTGTCGCGGTTGCGAGGAACACCTGCTGTTGTGCGCATATATACGGGCAATTCGGGGCCCTCTCTCACTGATCGCAAGTCTGAAGAAATAGATCTTGGCTTTTGTTCATGCTTATGGCTGGGGTACACACCCCGACGAACGAAGAACACGAGGTTAAAAGAAGGCGAGGAGGTGGAAAGGTGAGCTAGAAATGCGTGGAAGAGCTCTTTCACGGGAGAAACGAATGAATTTGTGCACCATGTGCCACAAAATGCATCCATACGAGGCGTTCATGCATTTCGCAGAGTTGGAGCGCCAGTACAATTTCCATTTCGGTTCTTCTTTTTACTTATTTACCGTTGCCAATCGCTATTTTTTTCGTCATTTTACACCCACTACACAACACCTGAAGCAAACTTCCTTGCTACTGGGCTCTCCTTAGTGATTTATGCAGTCTTCTGTGCGGAAATTTCAAGCCCTCTTCATTCCCTCTATCTTTCTGCCCTCTCTCATTCCCTTTGTGTCTCTGACTCACTCCCTGGGATCATGGCTGTTTCAGTTACACGTGTCACAGCTTCTGAACCACGAGCCTTGTTCCCTTGAGCGTAGCGTCCGCCGATGACAAGAGAAAACGCATCGAAGAAAACTTCGTAGGATAGAAAGAAGATGTCGAACTAGACGGCGCGAGCACCTCTTTATCTTCTTTATACCGTTTGCTGTATCGCTTTTTATGTATTGCTGTCTTTTGTGTATGTTTTAGTTCCGCCCTTGGTATAGCGCGTTCGAATACCGCGCAAATAAAGCGCTTGCCTTCCGGCAGTCAACCATAAATCATTAACAAAATACGACCACTCTTGCGCTCTCAATAGGATCATTCGTGGAGCCGGCACTGTTTCACAAGGAATACGCGAGTTTGTTTTCTGCTTCATCTTGCTCATTCACCGTATAAATTGTACCCCGGCGCTCTTTTGAGAAATAAAAGAAACAGTACGGAGATTTCAATGCTTGTCGAAGACATTCACAAAGCGCGCAGCTGGCGGCGTCTTCTCTCGGCCAACTTTTCTTTCTCCCATGCTCTTTTTTCTTTTTGTTTTTATTTTCCTTCGTCCATCGTTATTTTGTTGCCATTTCTTAGATTCCTGTACTTTTTCACCTTGTTTGCACGATATCCTTTGAACCCAGTGAGCTACCGGCACACGCGCTAGTATTCAATAACCGTGCTTTCCAGCTTGGCACGATGGCGGCTGATGGGAAAGAGCCAATAAATGTGCGCTATTTTTTGATCGCAATTATTTCTTTCTTCCGCTTCTATGAAAGACAATCATCAGTGATTCTCCTTGTGACAAGGTCAAGGCTGGTTTTCAGAGGCCGTGATTCGATCGTCTCACGTGCTTTAATGAGCCGTTACCCGGAAAAAAACGCCATCATGCCTGATCCCGACCAACACATACGCATTCTTTGGATCCTTTGCGTGGGGTTCCAGTGAGCGGCTCCGCCGTGGCAGCCTTCAACGTTATATCGCTCTACGCGACGAGTGGCTGCAACACTTTTTTTTCTCCTCGAAGGGTAGGACATGACACCTTCAGTCAGAGCCCCTCGCTTTGTGACATTCACGAAATTGGAATGAGATCTTTGCCCCGGCGAAAAAATGAACTCAAGTGGCGTCGCCCTTCCATTTCTGCTGCGCGAAAAGCCGGCGAACGCGTTCCTCTAAAGTGGTTGTTTTTCGCACGTGCGTGTATACACTCCCTTTTTCATTCATGCGCGAAATATCGACGGGTTCATAATGGACAACGTCGTCTTACGTCGCACGCTATCGGAGAAGAGGATGCGCACTAACGCAGAAGGGGATAAATGGGCAGCTGTATAATCTCCAGTTTTGACAAGGTGTTGTAAATCGTCAATCTAAACAAAACAGACATAAAATGGGGTGCGCGTGTTAAGGAACTAATAGCAGCACCTCGTCATTATGCGGTGGGTGTCGCGAACCACTCAGTTAGATCCAACTGAGAGTGCGTCAATTTTTCTACTATGATTAAATTTATGTATATTGCAGTACTACACGCCGAAAATCATTTAAAATAATATTACAAGAATGAATTAGCGATGAGTTTAGAAAATGAATTATTTACTGCCAGTCTAAAATTACGCGAAAAGCAACTGATAATTAGAGTGTGTTAAGGTATTACCGACACACGCTGTAAATCAAACAAGCAAAGTAAGCAGCGTTTGAGCAAAGCAATGATTGCTATAGATGTGAATGTGCTTAAATGAAAGACATCACAGGAAACATGTTCAATTTTCGCGCTTAAGGCCAAGAGTAGGCGAAGTGATGTTTCGCAGCCTAGCTCATCAGAGAAGCAGACGGCGACGGGATTGAACTTGTTCACTGGATCGAAGTTCGTCATTTGGGCGACCAATAGTTAGCTTGACCGCCAGACCGTTAGACCAATAGACCAATATATCTGCATCCTTTAGACGCTCAAGCACTTAGAGTAGTCTTCACAGTCTTTTGTTTTTAAGAGCTTTTATAGTTGTTCAGTTACAATCGTCAGTAATATGCCACGCACAAATAATAACTGGAACTGTCTCATAAGAAAAGGTTTCAGTGAATACAGGGCCATGATTATTGGAAAATTCGGTACAATGAGGTACACCATGCCAAACTATAACGCAAACCTTCATTCTTGTTTTATTGCAGTTTTCCGACACCAAATTTATGAAAATACCGATGAAAGATTGTGTACGAACCCCCAACTCTTTCGACAGAGGTAATAAACGGCATTCATTGATTACAGGAATTCTCTTCGGTTTGAGAACAAATTACGTTGCTTGCTATAATGTGTTTTTCTTACATGGCTGACGGGTGGGAGTCAACAGAAATGTGGAGCAGTGGAACTGGTCTTAAAATGGCCGAGCTCCTAAATAAAAATATTTTATCTGAAAAACAAAGATATGATTGTGTCTCTGATTAGCATTTACAAAACAGAATCACAGTTGTTTTATTCGACACGATACTTTCCAATAGTCTGTCAAGATATTTTATACATCTGCAAGTTTTTCCTTTTGATATCTAAAACACGTGGCTGCAAACGTCTATGGACAAAAATGTTTGCTTGAAAACTTTTGCACTACGACCAATTTTGCTTCATTTGAATGAGATATAATCTAGCATCTGAAAAATTTTGTCCATCTTACTCAAAGTATATTAGCTTTGTTCATAAAAGAATTTTTAGGTTGTTTTGGCCACCTGACATGACAACACTTTATACGATGTGCTCCGGGTTGTATTTTCTTGTAACTTTAGTAACTAATGTGAGTCGTTGCTGCTCGGCGACCAACTATCGGGTTGCCATTTATTTATAAGAACGATAATAAGAAGCCTCTGCACGATGGAACAAATACAGATTTGGAAATAAACATTTTCTGCAACACCTATGACGTTCACACAATACCGGATCACCGAACAGGTGTACAAGAGCAACGGTGCTGGTAGCAACATCTTCTGTGACGAGTCACGTTGGCATAAAGGACACAAAGACGCCATAACTTTTCTTAGTCAACTTGTCTATGGACGTACTGCGTTCATTAGCGACATTCACACTAATATGCACTCTACCATTTTTTTCCTTCTATGAGACGATATACGCAGCACGGAAATGTCTCAGAGGTAGAGAGTGTTTAGTTGCATGATTCGTCGCAGGATATCGCCACTATTCGCACTACTGCTCAATATCGCTCCCATTATCTCGTAATGTAGCAGTAAAAAATTAGGGAGATATAAAAAAGAAAACAAATACATATATATATATATATATATATGTAAAACAAAAAGATACACACATAATAAACAAGCACAGTGAATAAACTTGGAAACACAATACAAGCGGTTTTTACATTATATATGACAATTAGGCGTAAACTCACTTTTTTATAAGACAATGAAAAAGCGAACGGCCTCAAAAAGTTGCCTAAGGCAGCTCATTGGAACGCTCATGAGAGAAGCGGAGCATTATTTTTAATAGTGTTTCTGTGATCCGACGCCTTGCAGTTTTAAGATGTCTCGTCATATATTTCATTATTGTAAACTCCCAATTGCTTATTTGCTAGCTCTTAAGCAAAATCGTTGCGTATCTGCAATCAAGGCGCACCATGGTTAATATATATTTGTACTTAACTTCACTTTGACATGAATGCTTTTTCAAGAAATTGAATGCAAATATTTAGGCAGTAGTTGAAATGACGGTGGCATTTAAAACTATAAGTCAAGAGCTTGTTTAGGGAGCACGTTACAAAAGGCATAGTGCGGTAAACAGACTGGAAGAAATTAAGGCGGCTCCTCTATATTGCTGCCAAGCTTGAAGCAAGCGTGTAGCTTGGTGGCCTTCTTTACTTCTCTCTTACAATGCGATAGGATGGAAGAGCTTATTTTGTGGAAATTCCGGTGTCAATGGGAGCTGTGCTGTCTTTGTGAGTAAAACCCCAGTGTTTATCATAAGTGCAGAGTCGAGAAAGATACAATTTAAAATGTAAATATGTCATCGGCTCGTCTCGAACTCAGGGTTCGAACCTACGACTTGCTCCGCAAAGCAATTCGTTCAGCCGCGCGGCCGTCCCGCTTTCTACCTGTAGGGCACTAAGGGTGAGCACCACTTAGCGTTGTTGGTACGCACATCTAGAAAGTTATTCAGCAACTTCACACAGCACTCACGAGATGGCGCAAAATGCTGACAGGCTGCCGAATTAAGCAACGTGGAATAGGTAGGCATGCCTTAAGAGCTCACGGGAAGACACCAAATCAGGGAGTACAAGGTGATATGGGATGGACTTCATTTCAGGGCAGGGAAGGTAGCAGCAAGATAAAATTTGAGAAGCGATTGAGAGAAATGGGGGAGGAACATTGGGCTAGGAAGGTATTCAGCTACTTGTACATGAAGAATGTCGATACAAAATGGAGGACGCGAACCAGAAAATTGACTGGTAAATACTTGGAAAACAGCAGGGAGCCAAACCGAA